CTCTTTCTTGTAAGGCTGTGTTCCAGTGATATCTCATCACTTCCAAATGTATTGGTTTTTTCATATTAATAAAATCTTCTTTTTATTGATTACCAAAAAAATGAGGCATTCCTCTGGTTGGCTTCCTCCATAGAAGCCAAACTGTTGAGGGAATCTCACAAGGTAGAAGATGAACATGTGGAGGTTCAGGCACTACATGGAAGTCTGGGGTTGGAAACTTTGCAAAGTTTGGGAAACTACATGGAAATAGGCAAGCAAGGTCTGAGTGCATCTAAAGTAATGTAGGAAGAGGAAAGTTTAAGACGTGTGGAATAAGGAATAGGTCCAGTTGCTGACAGGTCATATGCTCAGGTAGTAGAACGTGGCACCAAAATGGGTAATTCAAAATTGGTGAGCCAGCAGAAATTCCCTGGTCGGTTGTTAGAGTCGACGAGTCAAATTGGGGGATTTGGATAGGATGGTTGGACATAATCTTTTGCTGGTGGGCCCAAAAGGGTTAGAACTATTAATGGTTAAAATTGGGCTGAGTCTAGTAAGCCCAATTGCAAAGGATAAGTCGACACATACTTCTTTAAAGGGTCATGTGACGGGAAAAATAGTTGATAGACGATGAGCACAACCTATCTTCTTCTTTGAGACCTTCCTGTCATGTGACTGTTTGCTTGCCCTCCTCTGGTGTTGGAAGTCCATTGCAGTGGGTCCCCTCGAAATACATTGAGCATCTCTTGCCAAAAAGATGGAATCCTAGAGGCATTAGATGAAGTGATTTGGATGCGGCAGAAAGGGCTTCTCTCTCAGACGACACTCTAAGTCTTGGGAGTGTAGATTTAAATCATTCAACGAGTCCTTTGGAAACTAATGGTTTCGGAATTGAGGTTCTCTTTGCAGAGGAAGAGGTATGAGGTTTATAGGAAATTGGGGATGCTTCTATAACCTTGGGTGGTTGCTTAGTAGTTAAGAAAATAACTAAGATTGTAGAAGGGGCTCAGGGAACACCTATTTCGACTAGGAAGTCTATTCCATCAGCCCAGTTTTGACAGGACTTTAGTTTGGAGAGGCAAAGCACTTCCAAGAAGGTTTGCAATGTTATACCTAAAGGGGGTCAGCATGTGAAGGCTTCTGTTAATGCTTCAATCGATAGAATTTTGTAACCTACCTCTAACCTTCTACAGCAGAACCAGGCACAGGGAACAGGTGTAGACTTGAGCTCAACCTTTGACTTTCTTGCTTCTGAGATAGCTCCTTCGGCTCCCATACAATCAGGTAACTTTGTCCTTTTGGTTTTGGCTACTGATGAGTGTTCTTTGCCTGTAACAGAGTTTCCAACATCCCAATTGGATAGACCAAAGCATGAAGGGAGATGTGAGTTAGGCGTTAGACATAGTGAGATGAGTCTTTTCCAAAAGAAGAAGCAAGAGGAGTTGGAGGTAATTTGGAACCAAATTTGTTCTTTATTGGAAGAGTACAAGAGGAAGGAAGACAAAGTTGAGTTGCCTAATAAGTTTGACAGAGAGAGGAGAGAGGAGGAAACTCTAGCTAGGAGAGGTCAACCCACAAACCCTCACAATGGGAAGGAACAAAAAGGTGAAGGGGAGTCTGTTAGTTTGAAGGATCATTAAAAGAAAAGCCAAAAGAAAAAGAGATCGAAGGTGGAGAGGTTAATTTCTGGTGTTGAGGGTGACATTGAGTTTAGTGGTAGAGGGGAGAGAAGGAGGGCTCCCTACTAAGGAAGCCTTGGTCTACAGTGAGGGCTATTGTCAGTTTGTGTCTGAATGAAGATTATTATTTGGAATCTAAGGGGTTTAGGGAATGCTAGGAAAGGAAGGTAATAAAGGACCTCTTTAGGAGAGAGTGACCTGACATAGTGATGCTATAGGAGACCAAATTAGCAGAGTTAGACTGGAGATGGGTGAGAAGTGTTTGGAAATTTAGAGGAGTGAATTGGACCTCAACTCTGTCTTGGGGGCTTCTGGGGGTTTAGTTACTTTATGGAGAGAGGATGTGGTGGAGATAGTAGAGGAAGTCATAGGAAGGTTTTTCGTGTCTTTGAAATTGAAAAATCGGGATGATGGGTTTACTTGGGTCTTGACTATTGTATATAGACCAAACAATTACAAAGAGAGAAATGAATTATGGGAGGAATTGTATGGACTAAATGGATTATGGGATGACCCTTGGTGTTTAGGGGGTGATTTTAATGTAATCCGATTTTGCAATGAGTCCAATTATCCTCGAGGTGTGGTTAAAACAAGCATGAGAAAATTCAACGAATTCATCAATACTTGCGGGTTAAAAGAGATTTCCTTACTACAAGCCAATTTAACCTGGTCCAACTTTCAGGAAAACCCAATTTGCTCCAAATTGGACAGATTTCTTTTCAATGAAGGATGGGAAAACCATTGGAGAGGTTTGGTGGCTATGTCTCTACCTAGGGAAATCTTTGGATCAGGACCTCAGCCTTTTAGATTCGAAAATATGTGGTTGACTCACCTTGGTTTTGTGCGGAAAGTGGAAGAGTAGTGGAATGAAGACCTAAGAGGGGTCAAGTGGCAGGGAGTCAAATTCCATAAAAGACTGAAGAGGCTGAGGTCCAGGAAGCTGAACTCGTTGTTTTGGAGCTTCTTTGTGTCCTAGATAGTGTCTTTTTGGATCCTCTAAAGCCAGATAAGAGGATTTGGTCTCCCCACCGAAAAGGTGTCTTTACTTGTGCTTCTTTTTTCAAGGCACTTTGCTCTCCCCCTGCTCAAGTTGTCTGTCCAGTCAAAAAGTTTTGGATTAGACCCATTCCTCATAAAGTTATTCTGTTCTGCTGGAAAGTGTTTAATGAGAATATCAATACTTTAGATTGTTTGCAGAAGAAAAAGCCTTTCATATGCCTATCCCCTAACTGGTGTATTCTTTGCAAAGAAAATGGTGAGGATTGCTTCCATTCACTAACTTCCTATTCTTTTGCTGTGGCTATTTGGGATTGGATTTTTGCCTTGATTGGATGCAGGTGGAACCGGCCTTCAAATGTAAGTTTGCTTTTTGACCTGTTGACCTTTGTATGGCCCACTAGAGGAGGGAAGACTATGTGAAATGTATTAGAGCTGCTGCACTTTAGACAATTTGGGAAGAAAGAATTGCAAGGATCTTTCAAGAAAAGGAAATAAGCCTCTTACTTGTTAAGAAATGTATCCTAACAAGGGCCATTAACTGGCTGAAAACTTTGAATTTTTTTCGCTGTGTTTATTTTGACGACTTTTGGAGAGATAAGGACAGCAATATCTTTGCCTTTGGTCCAGTGGGAATAGGAGACTCAATCAAGGCTAACTTTTTGCAGCTCTACAAGGTTTTCAGATAGCAAATCAAATAGGAGTGGAGCATCTCCTAATTGAAGGAGATTCTAAGGTGGTTGTGGGCTAGTTAATAGACCGGAGCTCGGTAATTTGGTGCTACAAGGACTTCCAGGCAAGCTGGTTAACAAGCAATATGAATGTTAGTACATGGTGGGTGAGAGGGTCAGCAAATACTATGGCTGATAGTCTCACTAAACAGGGGGTCTTGAGGGAACATCTGTATTGGGCAACCTTGTAATGATTTGATTATTACACTTTTACTTTCAAGAGAGGTAGCATCCCATGCCTCTCTTTAGGATCCTGTATCTTTGCTTACATTTTGATAATAAAGTAACTTTTCAAATAAAAAAAAAGAGGCATTCCTGATAGATTGTTGTTGCAGCATAGTACTTTGGCTCAGATTGGGTTTTCATTGACCTATGAGTTTGTCACTGTTTTCTAACCATCAGTATCCTACTGGTTCTTGCTGATCATATGTCACTGTTCCATTATGATGGTTCATTTTCTGGTTGACTTCAAACTCTCCATTTTAGTGATAATTAAGGCAAATATGAAGAAAAGTCATTACCCCTGACACAATGACCTTTGCTTTACGATCCAGTGCCATAACATGCAGCAGATAATGGGCATCTACATGAGCACTTTGAACCATTTGTGCTAATATTGCTGTTTTAAACCGGTGGTTTTGTTCTTTCATTGGGGATGTACCCCATTTATCAAATATGGGATGTGCCATGCATTCCTTTACTTTTAGATGATAAAGACCATGGCTTTGTGGTTTGTGTTAGAAAAACAGAGAATATATATATATATATATATATATATATATATATATATATATATATATATAGTGGTAACAGATCATTACATTATTTTTTTTACTATGGAAGTTAGAGAAAAGGAGCTGTTCCATGGCTAAGCCAAGCCAGTATCTCTCTACGGTCAAAAGATGTCCATAATTGAGGTGGTATAGCAGGTAACTAATGGAAACTTATTGGATTTGGCAGAGATTATTTAGGGTTTAGATGATTAGGAAACTACTAACTACGGTTCTGAAAATCAACTTGAAATACCAATAAGAAAACAAACTTAAGTATACTGTCAACCGAATTTCTGAATATTATTATTAAAGGTAAGATCAGGTTCATTATATTATAGAATGGGAAGTAAATTACTAAAAATCTGATTTCAAACTAGAGTATGAAAAAATTAGTCTGGTCATGCATATATCTTGAAAACTGGAGATAAAAGAGATTAGCGTGGGAAGGATGATAACCAATTAAAGGTCCTATGCCCATTTAAGGGAAGCCACTGCACCGTGTGATTGACCCTGTTGATTGCCACCATAAAAGTGTGGGTTGGCTTGGCAGTTGGCATCAGTTCTTGCCTAGAGCTGTGCGTGTGCCTATGGATCATTGTGTATCAGTTTTTGCCTAAAGTTGTGTGGAACACATCCCTCAACTATTTTATGCATTCATCAAAAAAAAAAAACTAGTTTATGCATTATATAATTTCTAGCAGCTTTTTAGATTTCATTGTTTTTGGAAAGTTGCTTTTTTGCTTCTTGTCAAAACTTAACGAGCCTTGGTTGAGAAATATTAACTACTTGCATTCAACTACCATTTGCATGATTTATCATTATTCTTCTTCCATTTCGGTCAGGGGATTCAAGGCTTTAAAGCAAACTGTTAAGCTCTATTATCGGCTAGGGAGATACAAAGAGATGATGGAAGCTTATAGAGTGATGTTGACATATATTAAATCAGCCGTAACACGAAATTATAGTGAAAAATGTATAAACAACATCATGGATTTTGTTTCTGGATCAGCTAGTCAGAACTTTGATCTTCTGCAAGAGTTCTATCAGACCACTCTGAAAGCCCTTGAAGAGGCAAAGAATGAGGTAAGAGGCTTTTCTTGGCTATATTATTGTAGTACTTTCCAGTGTCAAAGTTTGATTTGCTGTTCTTTGTTGCAGAGATTGTGGTTCAAAACAAATCTTAAGCTTTGCAAGATTTGGTTTGATATGGGTGAATATGCACGAATGAATAAGGTATTTTGTTGAGTAAGATAATACATTTCATCTAATTCTCATACTAATTTATACTGGATGGTAGCATAATCATTTCTGGAACAAACTTAGATTTTGAAGGAGCTTCACAAATCTTGTCGAAGAGAAGATGGAACTGATGATCAGAAGAAAGGAACACAGCTTTTGGAGGTTTATGCAATTGAGATTCAAATGTACACCGAGACCAAGAACAATAAAAAACTCAAGGTAAGGAGTTCTTGATTGATTGCTTCATGGCATCATTTTAAATATTATATTTTCCATAATGTGATTTAATCAACTGTTGGTATTTCTTTTGCTATAAGCCTATAACATAAATAAGTTAAAATCTTTGCCTTGCAATATGGAGGTAAACTTCAAACTGATATCTAAAGGTGGTGAAGGGGGAGGAGAAAGAATTCTGCATATGATGCAGATATTCACATGAACCTTTGCTTTATTTTCTCTTTTTAGGCCTAGCTCATTCTCTTTACTTGATCGATTGTTTGAAGAGGATAGCGACTATAAAGAAATAACAGTATAAATCCTCTTGCTTGTTTCACATGCATCTAATAAATCAATGGAGATTTTTGATATGTCCAAAGTTACAAACAATGGATGTAACCTTGTGATACACAAATTCATATTTTATTTTATTTTGTTGGGAAGATGCAAAGGGTTTATGATGGAGATGTAACTAATGCTCCATAACTATATTTTTCAATATTCTTTGGAGATTTTTGATATGTGCACTGAAGAGATGGATGCAAGAATTTCCTACTGTGCTTACAAGTACATGGAATTAGCAACATAATGAAGTGGAGAAGAGCCAAGAAGAAAAGGGGGAATCTAAATGAATAGATGGGTATACAGTGTAATGCACAGGAAAATCAGTAGCAGAAATGGGCAGGGAAAATAGTAGAGAAAAAACCTAATAATGAAATTATATAAATATCAAAAGAATCACATTTAAGACAGTTTAATTAAACTTCTTTTAGAAGAGGAAGTCAATCAAGTCATTAATGTCATTTGTGCTTATGCACCTTGTGGGATTAGATGGAAGTATTTTTTTTTTTTAATGGTAAAACAAAAATTCATTAAAAAGAGAACAAGAAGTGATGAGAAGTCACCACTAAGAGAACACAAAGAACTACTACCCCATGATTATCCAAAAACCAAGCAACACACCCTAGTAACCAGCATTCAAGTAAATACTTAAATTTTCTATCATACATAGCAACAAACATGCTAAGCCACCCCATAAATTAATCTAGCCAAATAGGGCTTGAACATTTCTGTGAACATTCATCTACCCTTTCCTTTCCTACCTGTCTCTTTCCACTTAAATGAACCCACCTTTCCAAGTCTGCCTCCATCCTAAATTCTTCTAATCTCAAACCCCTATCTATATGCTATACCCCTGTCTCTTCTATCTTAGTTCCTTCCTCTAGCATTAAGCTTCTCTATCCTTGCCCAATAGTCTTCTATTTTGTTTTGATCTTCCCCTTTTGCAAGTCTTTTCTGAATTCTCTTGTTGCCACCTCCCCTTCTCCTTTCCCTGTTAAGGAGATTTGGTCTCAGCCTATTCCTCCAGGAGTCAATGCTTTCTGTTGGGAAGTGTATCATGGTTCCATTAACACCTATGATCTGCTTCAGAGGAAAAGGCCAAATTGGTGCTTGTCCCCAAGCTGGTGCTTCTTGTGTAAGTTGTATGATGAGGCTGTTTTTTATCTCTTAATATCCTGTCCTTTTGCTACCTTTATTTGGGAGTGTTTTTCGTCTCTTTTTGGTTGTAGATGGCTTCTTCCTGATAGTCTAAAAGGATTGTTTAGCTCTCATATTTTTAGTTGCTCAAAAAGAAGAGACAGGTTATTGGGGAGATGCACTAGAGCAGCAGTAGTTTGGACAATCTGGGAAGAAAGGAACTTAAGAATCTTTGAAGACAAAGAAAGGAGTAAGGAAGCTGTGATAGAGGTTATACACCTAAGGGCGGCACATTGGGTGAAACTATAAAGCTCTTTGCTGACTTTAAGGTTGAAGATTTCTTCAACTTGTGGGGACCAATAGCTCACTCTTCCTCTACAAAAAGTACAAGAGGCCTGGTCACCTCCATGTGCTGGATTGAAGAAATTAAATTTTGATGGGAAGCTGCATGGGCAATCCTGGACCATCGGGTATTGGTGGAGTAATCAGGGAAGAAAATGGAAACACTCTAGCCATGCCTTCAGGCCCTGTTCAGAATGGAGATGTGGTGAGGTCAGAACTGATGGCAGCAGTGTATGGAGTAGAGTCAGTAGACAAAGCTAAAGAAATGGGGATTGACAGGACGATTATTGAAGGTGATTCAAAATAGTTGTGGGTTGGCTGAAAAAGGGGGAAGGAGTAATATTGCAGCTAAGGAATGATTTCAGGCGCTTCAAACTGATATCTAAAGACATGATGATCCGAATAAAGTGGATTAGGAGATCTGCAAACAATATGGCTGATGGTTTATCTAAACAAGGAATTCAGAGACAATCCATGTTTTGGGCTATTTTGTAAATATTGGGATAGTTCTTCTTGGTCTTGTTATCTCTGCCCACAACTTGTTGTATTTCTTCATTTTAAAATTAATGAATTGATTTTTGTATTGCTGATAAAAAAAATATTTTTTCTGCCAGGAATTTACCAGAAACTTTCGATCTGCTCACATGAAACCCCCTCCGGACAAACATTTCCACCTCCTACTTCTAATATCAAGCTTCAACTTAATAATAACTCCATGGGAACCATCAGTGAGATGGAGGCCAAGTTTGAAGCAATGGGAAGAAGGTTATCATTGAAGCACATTTCAAGCTCGAAGAGATGAAAACAAGGAGCATAGTGAATCTAAAGACCAAAGCAGAGAAAGAAGACAAGAGTGTTAACATCTACCTCTAGAAAGAGTTGGTAGCATGGCTAAAAGGATTAATTGATGCGTGGCTTTGGAGGTGATAAAAGTGCAAAACTATAAGAATACTTTGAAGAGGGGCGGGAAGATGTATGTAGCGGAGTTGAGACATAATACAAAGGGTTGGTTTATCACAACAGTGGAATAGTTCAGGGAGGGAAGAAAAAAATTGATATGTGTCCCTTGTGGAAAACAAGGTAAAGGCTGGACTAGGTTTGTAGAGGCATTATAGGAGCTTCAATGGAAAGATGACGAGTTTTCAAAAGATATCTAGAGTCCGCAGTATAACAGTCATCGGTGAGAGAGGGGGATACATGAAAGATCTATGGTAACTTAAATCGAAGCCTTTTGGAGTGGCAAAAAAAGTTAGTGTCCTATATAAACAAGAAGGTGAAAAGTTGGAGTAGTTTGACTGAGGAAATCAATCTGCGTCTGAAACATGAAGGACACTTTTTCAGGAAGGCAAAAGAAAGGTAAAGTCCTTTTAGAAAGTTTGTAAAGTTGAAGAAGAAACTCATACTCTCCCAATCCAGACATCAGAAGGTTTAGTGATGGTCGGGAAATGGAATCCGTGCGCAAATGTTGTAGAACAGTCTAGAACCCCTTGGGTGAAAGTAGTAGGAATCCCATTTCATATGTGGTCTTAGGAAACCTTCAAGAATGTGGTAACCCTTTGCGATGAAACAATGGAGGACTTTGACCTCTCAAGTCATGGTGGAGTTAGAAATTGATAAGATAAGCTACACACCTTGGTATTGTTGTTGCTAGAAGCTCTGATATGGGAACAATTACAGAGGGTGGAAGAAGATGATGATGTGGCATTGGTCAAGTCAAAATTATTGAAGCAAAATAAACCATTCTCTCCATCGAAAGGTAGGGGACAAGACTCTAAAACTTGTGCCTAATTTTATTGTCATGAACCATTCTTTCCATAAAAAATGAACTGTTCTCTCGACAAAGTGCAAAAAAGAGAAGGCTGGCTAGGTGTTTTTTTAGAAAAGAAAAACCAAACATTGTCAGGATTCAAGAGATCAAGTTGTCGTCAATAGATCGTAAATGGATTAAGGGCATTTGGGGATCTAGGGGCCTTAGCTGGCCTTTTGCATAGGGGGCCTCAGGAGTCGGGAGGGATCCTTACTATTAGGAGGAATGAGGAAATGGATTGCTTAGTGAGCTATTTAGTCAATATTCTGTTTCCCTAAAAATAAAAAAGAGCCTTGGATGGGAGTGGGCCTTGACAAATGTTTATGAGCCCAAATCACATAGAGATAGGGCCTTGTTTTGGGAGGAACTGTTTGCAATTAGGGGGCTTTGGGAAGGCCCTTTCTATGTATGAGGAAATTTAATGATCTAGTTGACTCCATTGAGTTACGAGAACTCCCCTATTGCAAACGGTTTTTACTTGGTCGAATTTTTAGTCCCCCCAACTTGCTCAAAATTGGATAGATTCCTTTTATTTCACATGATTGGGAGGAAATGTGGGGAACCCTAGTGTCAAGAGCTTTGCCTAGAGTAATATCAGATTGTTGCCCTAGCTGAATTGAAAATGAATTTTTTGGAGGAGGCCCTTCACCTTTTAGGTTTGAGAATATGTGGTTTGAAGATCCTTCAAGGAGAGGTTGAAGGTGTGGTGGGGAGAACTTTGTGGAAGGTAAGAAGCTAAGAGGTTGTAACTTTGTGGAGAGTTTTGCTAAGAAGCTAAGAGGTTGAAGGTAAGAATTAAAGGCTGGAATAAAGAGCAATTTGGAAGGGTTCAAGAAATTAATGAGAAGCTAACTTCAAGGATTGAGGAGTTGGATAGGAAGGAGGCTCTGAGAGTATTGCCAAATGATGAAAGATTGGAAAAATGGAATCAAAAATAGGAACAAGAGAAGATTCTAAGGAAGGAATTTGTTGGAAATAGAAATCTAGGTGTAAGTGTCTAGTGGAAGGGGATGGTAATACAAAGTATTTCCACACAATTGCAAATGGTAGAAGGAGAAAAACATCATCAAGAGGTGGAGGGTCAGGTGATAAGAGAAGGCCATGAGATTACAAGAATCTTTGTGGATCACTTCAAATCAATTTATTTTGACTCAGTTGGGGCTAGTACTAGATTGGCAAAGTTGGATTGGAACAGAACTCAGAGGAACAATCTCAGTTGTTATAAAGAAGTCTCTCTCTACAAGAGATCAAGGAAGTAGTGCTCTCGATTGAGAGATCCAAAGCCCTGAGACTGGATGGCTTCTCAATGGCTTTCTACTAGGAGTGTTGGGATTTTTTGAGCTCAGGTTTGCTAGAAATCTTCAATGAATTCTTTCATGAAGGGGAGGTCTCATCAGGGATTAATGCCACTTTTATTGCTTTGGTGCTGAAGAAGAGAGAGAGGCTAAAACACCAAAAGACTTTAGACCAATAAGCCTAATTGGGAGTCAAATGTTTTGTCAGAGAGGCTTAATAATGTGTTATCCTCGATGATCTCATCCTTCTAAGGTGCTTTTGTGGAAGGGACGCAAATTGGGGATCAAATTTTAGTAGCAATTGAGTGTGTTGTAGAAAAGAGGAAAGGAGGGGAGAAGGGTTTAGTCTGTAAAATGGATTCAGAGAAAGTCTATGACCTATTGGACTGGAAGGTTCTATTGGATATCTTAGAAAGGCTTGGTTTTTGGGCTAAATGGAGGTTGTGGATTGAAGAATGTGTTAGCTCAGTGGACTACTCAATCCTCATCAATGGTGTGGCCAAAGATGTCTTCCTGGCCAAGTGAGGAATTAGGCAAGGAGACTCCTTATCTCCTTATTCACTCTAGTTGTAGAGAGTGTTGCAATCAGATTCAGGAGGACTGATTAAGGGGTGGATTAGTAGAAATGAAGTGGTTGTCTCTCATCTTCAATTTGCGGATGATACGATTCTTTTTTGCGAGGATGTTGACTTGATGGTAAAAAACTTGAAGATGGTGATTGACAATTTTGGAAGCCTGTTGAGGTTGAGGATCAATTGGGGTAAAAGCGGAATTGTAGGGATCAATTTGAAGGAAGGGGAATTGCTAAGGTTCATGGATTTATTGGGGGTGCAAAGTTAGGAATTGCCTGTAATATACCTAGATTTGCCATTAGGTGGAGCCCAAGGCCTGATGGGTTTTAGAAGCCAATAGAGGAGAGATTTGCTAGGAAATTAGCTCTCTGCAAGTGGAAGCACACTAGCAAAGCTTCCCATTTATTTCCTCTCCACCTTTCATATGCTGGTTAAAATAGCAAGGCAACTAGAAATATACACGAGGGACTTTCTTTGGGAACCAGGAGAGGACAAAAAGGATACCTGGTTAAGTGGGAACAGGTCAGTAAGCCTAAAGAAAAATGGGGGTCTAGGGATAGGAAACCTTGTCTCTTGAAATGCTGCTTGATTAGGTAAGTGGTTATGGAGATTCCCTTTTGAGAGTGATAGGCTATGGCACAAGGTAATGGTGAGCATTCATGGGATGGAAGGCAATGGTTGGGATGCTAACTTAGCCTCTCGTTCTTCTTCGGCTTCCCCTTGGAAAGAAATTCATGAAGTGTACCTAATCTTACTTAATTCCACTAGGTTTGATGTGGGAAGGGGTGACAAAATTCGGTTATGGGAAGATTTGTGGGTGCGTGAAGTTCCACTTAAAGACCAATGTCCTGAATTCATTGCTATGTCTCTCCTTAAGGGGGGAGAGAGGATTTCCAGAATGGGAACACCTCTAGCTGGGTTGGACTGGAACTTGGGGTTCAGAAGAGGGATTAGGGAAAATGAATGTTTTTCCTTGATCCACCTTCTAGACACTCTAAGGCAAGTTTCTTTGGACCCTTCCCTTGAGGGCTCTAGAATCTGTTTGGCCTCCCCAGATGGCCTTTTCACTTGCTCTTCCTTTTACAAGTACCTTGCCTCCTCTATTGCTCAAGGGGTGGACTTCCTGTGAAAGAAATTTGGTGTAAGCCTATCCCTACTTAAGCTGGATAAAGGGTTGGGCTCTGTTAATGGATTCCAAAATCCCAAAATCCAATCAAATTGTCTCTGATTCGGATGATCTATTTACATTATCAGATTGGATGCGGATTTAACTCCATCCAATCTGATTAAAATCCGAATCTGATTATTTTAAAATAAACATTGGTTTTAATATATAAAATTTATATAATTATATATAAATATAAAATACATAATTTTATATATTATTATAAATTTATGTATATACATATTCAATGTTTCGTATTTATATTAATTTATTATATATGTCAAAAAGTAATTATTTTCTTTTTTAATTTTTATTTATTTTAAAAATGAAGTGAAGTTGGATCAAATCTAAATCTGGTCCAAGATCTTCAAATCCGGTTGGATTTGGATGGTAAAGGAAGCTTTTGAAGTATCATGTGCTTAGCAGATATCTCGTCGATCCCTAGATCATTCTTTGGTAGATAACCTTGCATGAGGGAGTGGGTAGACAGATAATGAGATCAGGTAGATACTCTTAGAGTTAATTTTAATATGTATGGGATTTTCAATGGATTAAGGGTTCTGAAATGTAATTGGGTTTGCTCTCTGCTCCCTTGTAACTGTACATCTTATATGCCAGAGTGACTTACTTTCATTAATAAAGTTCCTAATTATTATTGGTCAAAAGAAAGAGGCAACTAATGGTTTTAAAGGTTCTGGTAAAACCTAGGATGAAAGCTAAGCAAGAAAGGCTGGCCTTTAAATATCAGATTGAATATGCAAAGTTTGACAAATGAGTCAAAAGTTACCTGTATCAAAAGATGGCTAAAGAATAGTTGAAATTCTGTGCTTGTTGTGGATACAATGTTGGTCAATTTTGTCACTCCACCAATTATGCACAATTTAATTTGAGATTTGAATGTACCCGTTGTTAACTGATAGGGACTGTAGTTCTATTCTTTTTGAAATGGATAAGTCAATGTTCTTTTTGGAATTTCAGTATATCCATTTGTGCTAAAAAATGAACAAAATATCCCTTTGTAGACTTAATGTCATTTCTCTGCCTAATCTTTCCTGTTTCCTTGTGTCCCATTCTTTATTTTGTAGTAACCAAGTTATGGATTTATTGCAGCAATTATATCAGAAAGCACTGTTCAAAATATCCCATTTCTTATTTTGTAGTAACCAAGTTATGGATTTATTGCAGCACTATATCAGAAAACACTATCAAAATATCCCATTCTTTATTTTGTAGTAACCAAGTTATGGATTTATTGCAGCAACTATATCAGAAAGCACTGTCAATCAAATCAGCAATACCTCATCCACGGATCATGGGGATTATTCATGAATGTGGTGGGAAAATGCATATGGCAGAACGCCAATGGGCAGAAGCAGCCACAGATTTCTTTGAAGCCTTCAAGAACTATGATGAAGCTGGAAATCAGCGACGCATCCAATGCTTGAAGTATGGCTTGGAGGAATTGTTCTTTTTCCATTTATTTTATAATGTTCTACTTGTAGGCATAATAGATACAAATAAATGATTTCGGAAACCAGTAGCCTACCTTCTTTCCCTGCTCGGCTGCTCTATAGGATCTTCTAAGACCTGGGGTGCTAATCTGAAACACTTGAGTCACACCTGCATGAATGTTGGCTGTAGGATTAGACAACAAAGGAAATCATGTAAACTCCTATAGGGGGGAGGGGGGGACCTATGATACCTAGATGCCTTGGTGTGCTTGGCATGATCAGTGGTGCATGATGTGATATATTTATACCTACACCTCTTACTGCATGAATACCTATGAAGTATCACTTTTCTATTACAAGTTTGCTCGAGTTCCACTAGCAACAACTTTAACAAAGATAAGTAGCTTAAAAACTTGTTTAAATGCCTATATCAGAATAAAATATCAGAACCCATACTGTCCTGGAATTTGAGAAATGAAGAGTTGTATCCATGAAACTTGTTTCAATGCCTATATCAGCATCCATTTGTGATACCCACTTTGGATCACATGGCTTAGCAAGGTATCAGATAAGGAATTTACACCAAAAACCGTCTGACAATGGCATGGCTTCTACTTACAGATTAATTTGGTAATTGTGCATAGGCACCTATAGGCACCTTAGGGGACTGGTCCATTGTATGGTGGTTATCCTGAATAGATTGGATGGTCCAACCTAACTCTCTTCTGGGTAGTCATTTAAAACTATGGTGATAGGAGTCAATATTGGAACTTATCATTTTCTTGCTCCTGTTATTTTTATTTTTATATTTATTGATGCTTCTTTTGTTCTTAGATACTTGGTTCTGGCCAACATGCTTATGGAATCTGAAGTTAACCCTTTTGATGGACAGGAGGCAAAGCCGTAAGTTCTGGGACTTCACTCTTCAATCCTGAACCTGCTGTATTCATTTCTGAATCTCTTTCACTATGTGCTGTTATGTGTATATTTTCCTTGTCTCTTTTGAAATCTGTAGGTACAAAAATGATCCTGAAATTCTGGCTATGACAAATCTGATAGCAGCTTATCAACGGAATGAAATCTTGGAGTTTGAAAAGATCCTTAAGGTTACAGAACTCCATTTTGTGATGACTTGTTACTGAATATTTCTTTTGTAGTTTCCTCTTCCTTTGTTGTCCTTTTTCCCTGACATGTGCTGCTGTTTAATGCCTTGGTTGCCCAGAGTAATAGAAGGACAATAATGGATGATCCTTTCATCAGAAATTATATTGAGGATCTGTTGAAGAATATAAGAACCCAAGTGTTGCTTAAGCTGATCAAACCTTATACAAGAATCCGGATTCCTTTTATATCGAAGGTTGAACTTCCAAATCTTCTCAGATGTTGGCATTCAATTACTTTGCTTCTTGTGTTTATCCTTTCATTTTAGATAAGTAAATAGTTATCTTTTTCTACTTTATCATTAGCTTTTGAAATTTCTGCCAATGCCTTCACCAAGATTGATGTGTTTCTTTATGTTGCTGGACCAAGCAGCCACATAAATATATTGAGAAAAAACGGCTTAGAAAGAAGACCATTAGCATTTTATAATCATTCAAATAACCAGTTCTGAAGATTCGAGGATATTGGCAACCAAGGGATTTGAGAGAATGAGACATGTATAAAGGTCCATTCTTTGGGGTTCTACATTAAGTTTTCATCGATCAAATAACTTGATGCAAATCTAGGCCAGCAAGACATCCATCAGATCAGAGTCTTGGAAGAACCTCCTATGCCTGCTGGGATTTCCCCTTGGACCAGTGATCACTATCTCCAAGCATTGGCATTTCATTATTCTTCAAATCATTAGTTGAAGACTCAACGGTGTTAGAAATCTTTTTTTATTTTTTTATCAATAACACTTTCATTAACTCATCAATAGAATATTTACAATAGGAAGACAAACACACTTATCTTCCAAGAGCAACAAAGAACCTCAAGAAAAGGAAAAAAAGAAAGAAAGAAAACACACTATAGTTACAGCTTAGCCCAAAATGGTGTTAGAAATCTAGGAATCCAAGAGAATAAGATGTTCATCTTGGAGGCCTACTCTTTAACTTATTCTGTTTCCTACATTAGTCTTTCATCCACCCACCAACTATACTCGAATCCAGACCAGCAAGACGATCCTTCAGTCTTGGAAGAAACCTCCTATGACCATCAGCTGGGATTTCCCCTGGATCACACATCACAATCTCAGGTGGTTGATTCTTGGATATGGTAGATCAGTGGTTGAAAATTTTCTCTTATTTTAGTCACATCTTGTTATTCGTCAAATTTGTAGAATTTATGACATGTTTGTGAGCTCTATAATATAAATTTCCAAGTTGCTAAATTTAATTGCTATTCAGGAGCTCAATGTGCCAGAGAAAGATGTTGAGCAGTTGCTGGTTTCATTAATTTTGGATAACCGTATTCAAGGGCACATCGATCAAGTAAACCGACTCTTAGAGCGTGGTGACAGGTCATCTATCTTTCTTTCTATTTCATTTCCATTCTTTTTCTAAAGTACTAATTTATTCATTTTTGTCCATTTTATCAACTTCACTGATTTTTTTTTTGTTTCCATATGTGCCCCTTTATTTTGGGAAAATGTCACAGGTCCAAGGGGATGAAAAAATATGCTGCCATAGAGAAATGGAACACACAACTTAGGTCCCTGTATCAGACTGTCAGCAACCGAATAGGATAAGATACATATTTAGGTGGTATGTTTCCTCCTGTGTCGAAGGGCCCCAGTTTTGGAATTCTGTGATGTGGTTAATTTGGATTGATCTTCCCTACGCTTCGACCATTCCTTTACATTCCAGTGGAGTTAGGCAAGCTGTGAATAACAAGAGGGTTTTTGTTATTGCAAGTGAACTTTGTAACATGTACATTTGAATCTTTATGTCTCTATATATTGGTTTTGGGTGGTTGATTGGATTGGAAAGGTATTGTGGTGGAAAAGAAATGCTCATTTGGTTCAAGTAAAGCTCGTGTGTAACGAAATGGCTCATTTGGTTTATTTATCGATTTTTTTTGCCTTTTGTTTTCATGACAGTAGTGTTAATGCCATTGGACATAGTTTTTTTTTTTTTTTTTTTTAATAGGCAATCCCACTCCCACAGGCCTCAAGTTTGTCTACTTTTTAGTAATTGCATTGCTTCTGTATTGGCTCCAACAATTCTTCAAACTGGATACCTTTTGTTCCAGTCCAGATTATGGGCTGCCAAGTAACTACGTGAAACGGTGAAAGGTTTGAAGCTTTTATTTATATTCAAGGGTAAATTGCTGAAACCTCCCCTCCTTTTTGCTAATAGCAATCACTTCTCCTGAAGTTTCCAACAATATCTGCACTAACAATGTTGCAAGTAGATTAGACCCTCTCCATTAAGTCACCATTAAGAAGTTGACTGAATTTGGTGACATGATCAACTTAGTATTTCGAAATAACAATGAAATACGAAATTGGTTTTTGGCTGTTGTCGACCAAACCCTCAGCCCGCCATTACTTTTCAGTCGCCTCCATCCCTGCCTATTGCAGGACATTGGGCTTGCCATTTTTATTTGGCCTTCAGTGGCCTCTAGCATATAGATTTGGTTGCTGCTCATTCTCAATTTCCTTCCTGGCTCCAATGTTATCACCATCTTCAGTCCTCACTTTGGTGGGGGAGCTGGAAAAAGAAAGCTCAACTGTACAAAGCACAAACTCTTAGAAAACATCACTTTCGAGAGTTTCCATGATACCAGAAGAATATATCATGAGATGCAATTTCTTTACGGATGTGGAACTTGCCACAGCATTTGCATTGAAAGACAACCACAGGCCCAGTACGAGTTGAAGTCGCAGGTTCCTTGGTTTGATTTCAAGTCTCCATTGAATGATTGACATGAAGTGAATTTGGTCAATTTTGTCAAAATCATTGTATGGGTAATTTGATCATTTTGTTGCTAACGCTAGCTAATTCTAATGGAGGGGATCTAATTGCAACGTTGTCAGAAACTTAAGTGGAGGTGATTGCCATAGAAGGTTTCAGCAATTTACCCTATTTTTAATGAGAAATCACTCTCTTGCCAGCTTTTTTAGCGGGGACCAACCGTCCATGGGAACTGTTGGTGCGTCTGTTAAACAACACCCTCACTCTTTAAATCATGGTTTTCAAAACTGGACCGGAAAAACCAGGAATCAGTCAGGTGATTGGTTCCGGTTATCCCCCCCAAAACTAGATTTTCCATAAAAATTGTTGATTTTAGTCAGCAAACCACTGACCCGGGCGGTTAACCGTTCGAACCGTTTTGACTGATTTTCATTTTTTTTAGTTTTTTATTTTTTGTCAGAATGGGCCAATCGTTCGGGTCGAACAATCGGACCGTTCAACCCGGTAACCGGACCCTTGACCGGTTCGATCTCTGTGTAGGTTTTAAAAACCATGCTTTTAACTTGCTCAAACTTGTAAGTAGACCTATTCATGGGTCGGGTGGCCCAATGGGCCGGCCCGCAATAAATTCGAGTTGGGCTCGGGTTTTGTCAAAATAGCCCTGCCCGACCTAAAATTAGACTTAAAATGGGTTATGTGATTATGTCCATTTGAATAAATTTTTTGATTTAAGAATGTAAAACTGTGTTTTAAAACATAAAAGAAAGGGAAAAAAACCATCTTGTAGGCCATTGTTCATTTAAATAGGAAAAAAAAACATTTGAATTTTTAATTCTAATTTGAATAGGGAAAATTGTAATTTTTTTATTAGGTCGGGCTTCGGGCTTGGGCTCGAGCTTCGAGCTTTTTATCAGGGCCGGGCTCGGGCTCGGGCCTAGCGTATTTCCATTAATGATGAGTAAAAGCCCGGCCCGAGCCTGGCCCGGCCTAGCCCATGAACAGGTCTACTTGTAAGTGGGCATCTTCCATGGCATCAATTTCAATGGGAGTGAAATATTGATGCATATAATGTGATGGTTACAGTTTTTGAATCCACCGAGATGCTATTTTCATAGACTTAATGGGGGGGGGGGGTTAATAAACCCCACCTTATGTTGTTGTTGTTGTCCTTCTTCTTGATACATCTGCATGAAAAGATGAAAAGAAAAAAGATAATGCAAAATGACGGGTTTTGGGATTCTACAACCTGGTGGGTACCCATCCCTACCCTTTTCGATGGGGCAGGTTTTTTTGCTTAAATGATGGGTTTTGGGATTCTACAACCTGTACGAGTACGGATAGAGTACGCTAAACCCAACCCTCTCTAACCCGCATATTGTTGGAAGCATATAAACTTTATGTACTAGACTACTACGTGTTCAATTTAATAAGATTTTGAATTTTATGTGAATGATAATTGATAGCTTATGTGTTTTTTACATGTCTTAATCGATAATTAAAAATCTTGATGTTTATTTGTGTTGTTGTACTTATTTATTGCTTATATATGATAAGAAATAATAGGAAATTAGATGTGAGTTTTAAACCCAACCTGCCCTTACCCTTGAATGTGGGGAGGATTTTGCATTTTCATATGCGGGAGGGTTTGGATTCTCAAAATCCAACCCGTTACGGGTTTTGGGGCAAGTACAAGTTGAGAGATTTAGGAAGATGGATAAAATCTAGAATTTACAAAACCCTCCCCGAACCTGCTCCTGTTGCCATCTCTAGTATCCAATATGATTATTGTTAATATTTATAAATATGTAAATTTTATTAATATTGTTTTCTAAATGTTTTTATTAATATGCAATAAAAAGAGAATATGTCTAGAAATTAAAACTTATAATTTCTATAATTTGGATAAAGTAATTGAAGAGTGGTTTAAGGGTGAAGTGGAAGTTTTGTATGATAAAAAATTACCATCCTACTCTGTTTGATTCAGATGACGTTGTCAACTTTTGAGTCACCGGTGATAAACAAAACTAAAGTATTAATATGATACACGCAATATGAGGTATATTGTATTAATTTCAAAGTCACCGACATGAAAAGTATGGGGAGTTAGGAGATATTAACAATTTTTATCCTAACAAACCTATTTCCAAGGACCAAACTGACAAAAAAAGAGTATCGAGTAATCGACACACACCATACTCAATTTTTGGGTATGGTGTGTGTCAATATTTTGAGACTTTGTGATAAGGACAATGGGGTGTTAATGGCTTGTTCACTAGGAAGCAAATTAAGGTGCGGATTGGCTGGTGCATAAAACTCTGTCGAATAGATGGAATTCTTTCCCTTTTGATTGTTTGATGTTGGGGTATTATATATCTCCTCCTATTATTAAAAAAAAAGGCTTGTTCATTAGAGAGCATGGTTTTCAAAACTGGATTGGATTGGACGGTCGGATTAGAAAAACTGAGAACTTATCAAGTTATCGGTTCTGTTTTACCCCAGAATCGTTATTTCGCTAAAAACCATTGATTTGGTTAGTAAACCGTTGATCTAAGCGATTTAACTGTTCAAACCGTTATAACCATCCAATGATTTTGACTGTTTTTTTTTTTTTTTTTTTTTTAACTTTTCTGTCAAAATGGCCAGTCCATTCAGTTCGAATGGTCAAACCGTTTGACCCGAGAACTGGATCCCGAGCACTATTTACTTATTTGTTCAGCATTTTTTATGAGTATGCTTATTTGATTATACACCATTCTATTATATCTAATTGACGTTTAACACAAAAAAGAGGACTACCATTACTAGTTCATGATTCAGTAGGGGATAAAAATTAGACGGCCCAACAAATAATGGCCTCTTCAAACCTAAATTGTACTTGAATTTTGTCCCAACCCTAGTTGGGTTGGAGCTTGGGTTGTCTTAACCTGGACCAACTTAATCCGAAGACTATGCTGCATTCAAGGTTCAAAACATCTGTATTACGTATCTTATCAGAAAGCTTGAATATGGATATGTCGGGGAAATTCATACAACTCCCATAAATATATCAATAAAAACTAAATTTAAGGTTAAAATAATTATGAATAAAATATAAATACATAAAAAATGATATAAAGAGATATATTATAAATTTATAATTAATAATATTGGAAATCTATAACATGTAGATATCATGCACTACCTTCGCTAATAATACACTAAACAATATTTCAGCTTTCAAGCTATTAAAAATCATTACAAGATGTTAGCAAGGTTTAAAGTATTGATACAAGGGGCGTATGGTCCTGTATTGGTATATATATATATATATATATATATATATATATATATATATATATATATATATNTTTTGTTTTTAAATCTGGTTCAGAGGGGCTGGTTTAAGGATGGTCTATCCCCTGAACCACTTGCTGATCCGAAATACCTCCTGTAGGGGCACATCGAGAAAGCTCCGATACGATACGTATCGATACGGGTCAATATGCATCGATACTTTGAACCTTGGATGTTAGATCAATGGATTTAATAGGTAATGGATAGATCTATCTTATAGTTCTTCATTACCATGAAAATCATTTAGAATGTCTAAAATAAATTAATTTTTAATTTTTAGATATTTTCTAAAAATTAAGAAAATGATTTTTAACACAACCAATTGTTAGATCAATGGGTTTAATTGATTATTGATAGATCTATATTATAATTCTTTCTTGCAATGAAAATCATTTAAAATATATAAAATTATTTTTATTGATATTATGATTTTTCAGATTTTATGAAAAATTCATAGATCTAAAAGTTTGGATTGCCAATGTACCCTTATTTGAATTCGATCTGATCTGTTTGCATCCCTACATAAGGGACTGATAATGGTCTCACCATACGATAACATCAAGGCTAGGGGTGCAAATGGATCAGATTATGATCCAATCTGATCCTATTTGGTCAAATTCGGATCACCCCCCTGTTTGGATCTTCAGATCGGATTGGATAATATGATTTGATCAGAAAATCGGATTGGATTCAGATCACCCTATCTGATTGGATATATGTTATATATTTATAAATATAAACATAAATATATAATACATATATATATGTTATTTATTTATAAATATATTATTTATATTATATTTTTATAAATTTGTTATATTATTTATTTTTTTATAAAAACATG